GCTTTTAGAGATGGTGGAGAAGCTTAAGATTGAGTTAGAGGCTGAGAAGCTGAAGACCTTACTTGCTGATAAAGAAAGTGTTTTGGGTTAAGCTACAATCATTAGTAGCATGACGCTATATGATCATTTGGTAAAGGAGTTATTATGTTTACGAATTTTAAAAAAAAAATAGGGTAGTATTGACAAAGGAGTTACAATGTATAAAATTGGGAATTTGATAATGGAATAAAATAGATCAACATGCTGGGACGAAAATAATAATTATCAAAACAGTCATCAAGTTTCTACAGGCCTTATTAACAGATCTCGTGGGTTTTAGTACCATGAATTCGGGTTTGCAAGTAATATTCCTTATTTTTGAAACCACAAAAAAGGAAAATGTTTATTGTTTAGTATTAGTTCATAACATGGTTATACATACCAACTAAGCTAATGTCTATTTAATTATACAAATTAATAGATAAACATGATAACATATACGAACAAACACAGGTCATGGTGCCAAAACTATAAAAATTAATGGAATATGACATTTATTCGTTAACAGAATCTGTTAAATTTGACTTATCTAATTAAAAATTAACTCCGAGACAAGTGAGTTTTTAACCCGACCCAAAACATAATTAATCTCGAAACCACATGTTCCAGCCTAACCCAAAATACTGGCAAAAAGGTATTAAAAAACAAAATATAATACTTCCTCTCTAAACATCAACTAGAGTTCTTCAGAGGAAGAAGTTTCGTGATTGTTTCTTGAATTGACGATAAAACGGATTTCTGAGTTGTTCCGTTTCGATGAAGTTTATATACATTTTTTGTTATATAACAAGTTAAGCTTATCAAACCATTAGGAGTATTTGCAGTGTTCATCACCACCATCATAAATACACATCAACTCGCTTTATTACTATAAGTAACACTTTCATCAACTCAATATCGACTCGTCTGTCATCAACTCGCTTTATTACTATAAGTAACACTTTCATCAACTCACAAATATACATACCTTACACAACTTACATCATAAGAACTTTCGACTCGTCTGTCCATGATTTGAAAATCTTTGTTGGTAAACAACAATCACATAATTTTCAACCTCCATCATGTATATTCTTACTGCTATTAGAAGATCCCAAACTTACATCCATTATATATCAAACTGATTGCTCATCACTTTTATCGCAATCGAGCTCTAACAAGGTATAAGTAAAAAGAAATCTCAAATGCTCCTTCTTTGGAGTACTTGGACATTCTTAGGGTTTTGTTTCATTGAGAAACCTAATGTTATTAATGCATGTGTTACTCATAATCATTTTGGGATGGTTCTGAGTTCTGTTATTTCAATAAACCGTCTCTATTT